AGAAGAGGAGGAGGAGGAAGAGGATGATGATGAAGAAGAGGAGGAGGAGGAGGAGGATGATGAAGAAGAGGATGATGATGAAGAAGAGGAGGAAGAAGAGGAGGAGGAGGAGGAGGAGGAAGAGGATGATGATGAAGAGGAGGAGGAGGATGATGATGAATAGAGAAGAGGAGGAGGAAGAGGAGGATGATGAAGAAGAGGAGGAGGAGGAGGAAGAGGATGATGATGGAGGAGGAGGAGGAGGAAGAGGATGATGAAGAAGAGGAGGAGGAGGAGGAAGAGGATGATGAAGAAGAGGAGGAGGAGGAGGAAGAGGATGATGAAGAAGAGGAGGAGGAGGAGGAAGAGGATGATGAAGAAGAGGAGGAGGAGGAGGAAGAGGATGATGAAGAAGAGGAGGAGGATGAAGAGGATGATGAGAAGAGGAGGAGGATGAAGAGGATGATGAAGAGGAGGAGGAGGAGGAGGATGAAGAGGATGATGATGAGGAGGAGGAGGATGAAGAGGATGATGAGGAGGAGGAGGATGAAGAGGATGATGATGAAGAAGAGGAGGAGGAGGAGGAGGAGAAGAAGAGGATGAGATGATGATGAGAAGAGGAGGAGGAGGAGGAAGAGGATGATGATGAAGGAAGAGGAGGAGAGGAGGAGGAGGAGGAGGAGGAGGAGGAGGATGAAGAGATGATGATGATGAAGAAGAGGAGGAGGAGGAGGAAGGAGGAGGAAGAGGAGGAGGAAGAGGAGGAGGAAGAAGAGGAGGAAGAAGAAGAAGAGAAGAGGAAGAAGAGGAAGAGGAAGAGGAAGAAGAGGAAGAAGAAGAGGATGATGATGAAGAAGAAGAGGATGATGATGAAGAAAAAGAAGAGGATAATAATGATGATGAAGAAGAGGATAATGATGATGAAGAAGAGGATGATGATGATGATGATGATGAAGAAGTAGAAGAAGGAGGAGGAGGATGATGAAGAAGTAGAAGAAGAAGAAGAAGAAGAAGAGGATGATGATGATGAAGAAAAAAAAGAAGAAGAGGAGGATGATAATGAAGAAGATGAGGATGATGATGATGAAGAAGAGGATGATGATGAAGAGGATGATGATGATGATGATGATGAAGAAGAAGGATGATGATGAAGAAGAAGAGGATGATGATGAAGAAGAAGGATGAAAAATAAGAGGAATTCCAGCCCGGCAAAAAGTGTCCCTGCAGAGAGCTCCGCTATTTCTTTGACAGTTCCTTGACATTTACAGAGGTTGCAACATTGTATCTATTTGTTTCCGAATAAAAACATCTGTATCCTAAATGGATACAAATACATACATTGTTGCAACCTCTGTAAATGTCAAGGAACTGTCAAAGAACTGTCAAAGAAATAGCAGAGCTCTCTGCAGGGACACTTTTTTGCCGGCTGTAGACGGGATGAAAATCGGCCGATTTTTTTTTATCATTGGTGGTAACGTCGGCCGGTTTGAACGACCGATTTTTCGTGTTTTAAAAGAAAAATCGGCCGTTTTTCTCCCCGTCTATGGCCTGCATTAGAGAGTCAAATGGGGAGATTTTCTAAAACTGGAGCACTCAATCTGGCACAGCTGTGCATGGTAGCCACTCAGCTTTTAACTTCAGATTGTTCAATTAAGTTTTGACAATAAAACCTGGAAGCTGATTGGTTTCTACGCAGAGATGTACAAGATTTTGCACTTTCACGGTTTACTAAATCTCCCCGAGTGTCTCAGAAGTAAAGATGGACGGAGGTTCACCAATCTGTTAAAAATCTGCATTTAAAAATTGTCAAACAATTTTACAATAATGTTCCTCAATGTATTTCAAAGACTTTAAATATAGCATCATCTACAGAATCGATTCTATTTTGGCAGGTGAAGTTCCTGGAACGTTATATTAAGAAAGACCTGAGTCCTCAGGGTTTGAGAATTCAGGTCTTATCTAACCTATAGGACATTAAAAGTGATTTTAACTACTTGCCTACAGGGCACTAATATCCCCTTCCTGCCCAGGCCAATTTCCAGCTTTCAGCACTGTCACACTTTGAATAACAATTGTGTGGTCATGCAACACTGTACAGACAGATAGAGCTTTCTTTTGGTAGTATTTAATCACCTCTGGTTTTTTTATTTTTTGCTAAACAAACCAAAAACTGCTGAAAATTTTGAAAAAAAAAAAGTTTTTTCTTAGTTTTTGTTATAAAATTTTGTAAATAAGTGATTTTTCTCCTTGACTGATGTGCGCTAATGAGGCTGCAGTGATGGGCACTGATAGGTGGCACTGATGAGGCACTGATAGGGGCATTGGGCATTGGCAGGCATCACTAATGGGCACTGAAAGGCACACTCATCTGGCACTGATATGCGGCACCGATAAGCAGCACTGACTGGCAATGATAAGCGGCACTGATAGGTGGCACTAACTGGCACTGATAGGCGGCATTGATGTGCACTGGTAGCACTGATATGTGGCATTGATGTGGCACTGATGGGCACTGGCAGGTGGCATTGATGAGCACTGACAGCTGGCATTGATGGACACTGACAGGTGGCACTGCTGGGGCCCTGATGATCAGTGTAGATGTCCCCTCTGAGGAATGCCGATTACTGGCTCTCCTCTCAAGCTGTCAGCATGACAGCTCGTGAGGAGAGAAATGCTGATAAACGGCACTTCCTTATTTAAATGTGATCAGCTGTGATTGGACACAGCTGGTCACATGACCGTTGATCCGCTGTCCGAGGGACCAGCGCCCTGTGATGGCCGCGTGCGTGCACAGTTAGAGTGGGAGGACATGTGATGTCCTACCAGAACAAGAGAACCGCCTTGCGCCCGTCATTTCCTTATATTACGGGCGGGAGGCGGTTAAAAAACAATGGGAACCCAACCTTCAGGATTGTACTAGGAGAATGATGGTTTTATTGCTTGATCATCATGTCAAAGAAAATGACAATGATATTGTCGAAGTACAGAGGCAAAATATGGTCCTCTGTGCACATCCCAGATTTTTGGAAAAGGATGAGGAACTAAAAGACCATTTTGAAAAATATAATAAGGATTTGATATATAATAAAGTTGTGAAATTTATCAGAGCTAAAATGGCATTTATTGGCAAATATGCCTATAGATGGCCACAATGTGGAGGTGGGGCAGAGAAATAGACCAACATGTCCAGCTGGTTTGGTTAATAGGGAGGGTACACAAGAAGGCACGTATTCAGATATTTGCAATATCTCAATAGTTTTTTATACTTCACAATCACTTAGAATCGTTTCAGAGAAACCATGGGGTTGTGGTTTCCTTTGAAACTTTCTAACACTGGTAATGGGTACAATGATGGTGGAAAAAAGAAGGCAAGGGAATGTGGTCAACACATTGATACTAGCACTGATTCTGACATAGGTGAAACAGGTTTGGATATTTCCATTAGGGAGATTTATTCAGGGGCTATGGCCCCGATCACACAGGCTGCTCATGATGTAGCACCTACACGAACACTACCTAATACAAATGCACAATATGATACATTTTCCAAATCAGGAGGAGTCCCTAAAGGGATGTCCTCTCGAGACAACAGCAAAGATATTTTAGAAAGTTCACCAAAACAAGAAATGGTCAAAAAGGTCCTCAACAATCTGGACAGATATGTGGTAAAACAGAAAAAAAAAAAACTGATAAATTACAAATTATTAATCTTTCATCCCATGAGTCATCTCCTGGTGAAGTACAGGTCTTGGAGCTTGGGCTACGTTTTTGTCCTACGACTAGACCGGACACATTTGAATGTGTCAAAGACCTCAGTTTGTTTGCTCGTAGTTTAACGTACAAATATTTATTTGATGAGGATATAAAAAGGAAGAAATGCGAGATACAAGAACAGGAGCAATGGAAGGGATATACAGTGAAGGACTTCATGGCTTTGGATCTTCTAACTGAAAATGAGGGCTGCTCTTTAATTGTAGATGACTCCCAAACTATTGTAGCTGATGGTGCAGATATTATTATTACACAGTATTTATATAGCGCCAGAATGTTTGCTCAGCGCTGTACATTATAGTGGGGGACAGTACGAGACAATTCAGTAACAATACAATACACGAGGGGTTCGAGGGCCCTGCTCTTTCGCGCTTACAATCTAGGAGGGAGGGGATATTGGCAAAGGAGGAAGTGGCTGAGGGGGATGGAGTGGTAGGAGGAATGGAGGAGATATGGAGTCCAATCCTGAGATCCCACCCACACAAGATGTAAAGAACAAAGAACTGGGAAACTAAAGAAGAAATCTTCTAAGTTCCCCTCTTTACAAACTAATCGTAACATGTGGACATTTGTTACTCAGTCCACCAGGGAAATTGAAAGGCTTGACCTGGCTGGTACTGCTAAATTACAATTTAATCTTGGCCCAACGACATGCACTTGAGGGATTACAGCAAACTAACACTGACAATAAAAATGGCAGATAAAGGAGGTAACGTGGTCGTGTCTCGATATTCTATTAGGGAGTGGTATAGGCCCATTCCTGAGGAAATGGTTCTGACTTTCAATAAGGAATTTGATGAGATATTAAAGGAGGCATATACTAATGCTATAATTGACAAGGAACTTTATTAGCTGCTGTTGGTATCCTTTCTGAGAATTCCGTCTTTCTATGCTCTTCCTAAGACACATAAAAGCCACCTGGGAGACCCATCATTTCTGGAATAGGAGCCAAGACAGAGAAGGGAAGCCAGTTAGTGGATGCTTATCTGTGCCCCTATGTATAAACCCTTCCATCCTATATTAACCACTTGCCCACTTGCTTATACCCCCTTCCTTACCAGGCCAATTTTCAGCTTTCAGCGCTGTCGCACTTTGAATGACAATTGTACAGTCATGCAACATTGTACTCATATGAAATTTTTATCATTTTTTTTCGCACAAATTATCTTTCTTTTGGTGGTATTTACTCGCCGCTGGGCATTTTATTTTTTGCACTCTAAACAAAAAAAGAGCAAAAATTTTGTTTTTTATCATAAAATTTTGCAAACAGGTAAATTTTCTCCTTCACTGATGTGCGTTGATGAGGCTGCACTGATAGGTGGCACTGACAGGTGGCACTAATGGGCACTGATAGGCAGCACGGATAGGCTGCACTAATATGCGGCACTGATAGTCGGCACTGATTGGCGCAACTGCTGGGCACTGACTGGCGGCACTGCAGGGCTGCACTGCTGGGCACTGGTGGGTGGCACTGCCGGGCACAGGTGGGCAGCACTGCTGGGTACAACTGGTGGGTGGCACTGCTGGGCACTGATCATCGTGACACTGATCATCAGTGGCCTGATGATCGGTGCAGATCCCTGCTCTGACAACTGCCGGTTCTCGGCAGTACTTTCCTCACACGCTGACAGCGTGAGGAAAGTGCAGCCAAGAACAGTCAATTGCCTTTCCCGGTGATCAGAGTGTCATTGGACATGGCTGATCAGGTGGTAAAAGGCCGCTGTGATTGACCTTTTACCACATCACATCCTACGGACACAGCTGATCACGGAGATCGCTGGGGGCTCGCAGGAGAGCGTGTTCTGGGAGGACGTCATATGACGCCCTCCCAGAACTGGACGGCCGCTGTGTAGCCGTCATTCGGCCACCTGCGGTCGGCAACTAGTTAAGGACACTCCAGATTTACTTCGCAAATTAGACAACATAGTAGTTCCTTCTGGTTATTTATTGGTATCCATTGATGCGGAGGCTTTATACTGCAGTATCCTTCATTCATTAGGTGTATCTGCAGTGGGGCGGTTTTTGAATCAAAAAGGATGTAGCAGCCTTTCCCTTTGTTTCATTCTACGTTTACTTAAGACACATTCTGAGTAGAAATGTGTTTACTTTTGATGGTTTCCACTACCTCCAGGTACAGGTAGTGGTGATGGAGACATGTTGTGCCCCATCATATGCAAACCTGTACCTGAGGGAGTGGAACGTAACCTTTTTTCAAATGAGGCCTATACATCTTACATGTCCAACATTCTTTGTTGGTACAGATATATAGACAATATTTTTTTGATTTGGGACTCTGATGTAGACTCCCTAGTGACGTTTATGAAAATTCTGGATCAGAATAGTTACAATCTTAAATTTACTGTACAACATGACCCAAACACCATCTCATTTCTGGATATATCTATATTCAGGAGGATGGAACTGTAGGCTCTGCCTTATACTGGTATTCCCTGCCGAAGGTTTTCTTTTTCCATGCGAGGAGCGCCCATCCACAACCACTTATTGGAAGTATACCATACTCCCAATATTTAAGGATTAGGCGTAATTGTTCTACGGAGGAATTGTTTGAGAGGGAGGCAGCGGCATTGAGAGTGAGATTAACAAGGAGGGGTCACTGCAAGATGATCCTTAAAAAGGCCTACAATAGGGTTAAATTACAGATGAGACACAATTTATCTGAACAATGGGAAACAAGGTCTCAACAGGATTTGGTTAGAATTGTTACTACTTTTCTTTTTCTAATCAACATCAGAAAATTAGAGATGTCATACAGAAGCATTGGCATCTACTAACTGGTGACCATATACTTAATAAATACATCAGAGACTACCCTCAAATTACATTGAAAAGATGTAGATCATTGAAGTACTGTGTTGCTAAGAGTAATTTCCAGGATATTCCAGGATATGCCATGTCATGTGGAAAGTAAGAAGGGTACTTTCAAATGTGGTTCATGTGACTACTGTCCGTGGATCTTGGAGGGGACATCGATTGGTTAACCCAATGGAAAAACACACTAGATTAAACAATTTGTGGATTGCCAAGGACGTGTGGAAACCAAGGGCGTGATATACTAATGTTTTATAGATGCAATGTGTTTTATGTGGGTAAAACTATTAGAAATTTTTGGAGAAGGATATATGACCACATCTACTATATTAGAAGGAATTTGCCTTACACGTCTATTGGAAGACATGTGGCTCTCAAACATGGTCACAATGTAGACATGATACGATTTGCAGCCCTTGAAGGGTTTTTGAGGATCCATGGTGGAAATTTTGATCGAAGGGTGCTGCAGGAAGAGGCAAGATGGATTTATATTTTAAATGCTACCTCCCCTCCTGGCCTCAATGAGGCATTGAGCTATACTCCCTTTTTATAGGATGTATATTCTTCGAGCCATTGTTCTTGATAGTCTGTGTGTTCTCCCGTTGGATGTTTGAGGTTTCCCTGTTACGTTAATATCATTGGGTCAGGCTATAACCATCTGGTCCTTGCTGGTACTATGCTATGGGGCATTAATGTTTATCTATATGTAAATTAGATTTTTAATTTTTGCATTTATTATTCTCTACATTTATGTACCACATGTCAAGAAGGGGGGTTCTATGGGGTTGGAGATGCCTATTGGTGGTTTGGTCTGGATAGATGTTTGAACCCTTGGCTTATGTGCCGCCCTTATAGACATCCTATAGATTCCATTTATATATGGGTGAGCTGATTGATATAATTAACAAGGCTTTGACCATTAGTTTGGAATAGATGTAACTCATATACTCAGCTATAGATAATATATGGTGGACTGGACCGATTTTGGGTCCTAGACCCACCAAGGTGGTGGAGTTGAGGTGGTGGAAGCCGAGCGGCGACTGCGTTTTGGTTGCTGGATGCCCTGTGGACTGTGTTGAGGATGGTGTATATGTATATGCATTCGATGGTTATTTATGGGGTTAACATCTAGAATAGATCGGTGTCATGGCCGCTTCTCAGATGCAAGTGGCACTTCCACCCGTACACTTCTAAAGCTGGAAGTGACGTAGGCGTACATGCGCAATGTGCGCCGATCGTGGGATGGAAGGTTCTTTCCCATGGGACCATTTGGTCCGGCCCTGATTGATTACATGATTTAAATGCCGCGATAGATGAGTGTTTTGGCGCCAGCAGGGAAGGACGCATCTACAGAGCGGTTGCCGCCACATGGTTGTATTGGAGGTATGATAGATGTTTATTTGGGTCAGCATCTTGGTACGGAGGGTTCGAGGTTGGGAACAATATTGAATATAGATGCTTATTTATATAAATTATAGTAGTCACACTTGGATGCTTCTGGTGATTGATACTGGAGAATTTTTAGACAAACTACCTAGTGATATTACTGTTGCTGGGGCGGACGTTTTCTAGCTCCCCTTGGATCCGGGGCTTTTCAGGTAAAGATCTATTCATTTAAGATGGAGTGGTAATGATGGAACTGGAAATATAGTGATATCCCCTTTGACTCTGTATGTTATTATTACCATTATGCCTAGATTGCCCCGAGCAGAAGGTGCATATTACAGACATTACAGAGATTTACAGCGGCATGTGGATATTGTCGCCGTGTGTTTTCCTTTATTAGTGAATCATCTAATGTGAGTCACATTTGGGATGTTTCTTTTTTTCCCCCCTTTTTCTTTGTGTATCCCCTTTCCTGTTTGCCTTAGGATGCAATATGACTGTGTTTAGTGTTTATTAATTTATGCGGCACGTGGGGATCTGGCCGTATGGGCAGATACTCATCTGGGATGGGATGCTATGTGGATGCCCTTTATTACCATTCATGTTGACATGTGAGTTTGTGGAGAAAGTTTCCTTTTGGTAGTGTTATGTAACGATTATAATTACTTAACTAATGTGTTGCAAATATATGCACATATGTATCTTCCAGCTAGGATATTGGACGTTTTGTCTTCAACTCCTTTGGGGTCCTGAGGAAGCGAACAAGCGAAACGCGTCAACCTCTGGAGTACTTTGATGTCATGATATAAAATGCTGTGATATATTGGGCTGATTAGACAAAATACTGTTTTCATGGTAAATTTGTGGAAAATATGTCTCAATAAACATGTTTTATGCAACAATATGCTGTCCACTTTCTGTACCAGTAAAGTCACGATTCTGGACATCACTTTATGGACTCAGGAATACTTCCAAAAATCACTGTCTGTGAACACAGTTCACCGTGCCATCCAAAAATACACAGTAAAGCTCTCTGCAAAGAATCCGAGCAGGATCCAGTAACTCCACAGTTTTCTCTGGGCCAAAGCTCATTTAAAATGGTCTGTTGCAAAATGGAAAAAAGTTTTGTGGTCTGACGAATTGGAATTTTACATTCTCTTTTTGGCAACCATGAGTGCTGCATCCTCTGCACTAAAGAGGGGAGGGATTTCCTGGCTTGTTATCCGCACTCAGTTAAAAATCCTGCATCACTGATGGTATGGGGGGGGTGTATTAGTGCTTATGGAATTGGAAGCTTGTATATCTGGAAAGCAACCATCAATGCTGAAAGATATATCCAGGTTTTCATGTAGCTAATGCTCCCATCAAGACATCTTTTACAGGGAAGGACTTGAATATTTCAGCAGGAGAATGCTAAACCGCATACTACATCTATCACAGCAGCATGGCTTCATAGTAGAAGAGTCTGGGTGCTTAACTGGCCTGCCTGCAGTCCAGACCTTTGAACCAATTGAAAATATTTGGTGCATCTTAAAATTAAAAATATGACAAAGTTGACCAAGGACTGTTGAGCAGTTAGAATGCTATATCAGGAGTCAAGAACGGGACAACATTCCTCTTCCAAATCTCCAGCAAGTAGTCTCTTCAGTTCCCAGACATATACAGAGTGTTGTTAAAAGAAGAGGAGATGCTTAACTGTGGTAAACATGGCCCTATTCCAACTTTTTTATTTTTTTTTTAACGCATTGCTGCCATCAATTTCAGTTTTTTTAAACTGGTTTTATTGAGTATATAAAAAAATACATTCACAAGGCAATATTCCAGTCATTAGTAACAGGATTATCTTACAGACCAACAGTGGATCAGCTATCAAAAGGCACACAGAGCTTAAAACGACAGACTGTTGTTGCACAAATGAATGTAAATGACATCAGAAAATGTTTAAAGTGAAGACTTCAACTAATCCAAAAACAAAGCTTGTATAATGCAATGAAATACAGTGATGGCCAAAAATATTGGCATCCCTGCAATCCCTGAGGGGAGGGGCTACGTCATCACTCGGAGAGGAGCCGCACAACACGATAGACGGCAGGTGTATGACTCAGAGGCCAGCAGAGGATTTCCAATGGGATATTGCGTTACCTAAACCTGTGTAATGTGAGTTTAATACTTGGATGGTGGGAATAAAAAGTTTTAAAAAGGTAAAGCACTATGTCCTCTATTTCTTCCTGCATGTGGAGTAACACAAGGAGACTATAATTAGGAGGTCTGGGATAACAAAAGGAGTGTGTAATCCCTGAGGGGATAATCAGCCACCAGAGGATACATCCATTACTCCTAAAGGAAGGATCTCCCTATTTCACCAGCAAAAGTATGTCTAGCAGGTTCCAGGGAAAGTGAACCGAAAGCGTGTATAGCCTAATTGCAGGTATCAAAGGAGGTGAGCGCACATCTTCACTATTTGAAGGATTCACAAAAGTC